AGCGTTCAATGGAGCTTTGATGAAACTGAAAACTCTATCATCGTTTACCCACCCTTTACTTGTTTCACACCTATTTGACGTTCTTTCTTCTGTAGAACACGAAATATGTTTTGAAGAAAGCTGGAAGTAATTCCCAGCACTGGGTTGCGGCTGGAAAGGCATCCGCTGAGTAATAACATATGCTGGATAAGTTGGCGGTAGGGTTGGGTCGATAGCCGTTATACATAATGATGGTGAGTTGGCATCCCGATCCTCTGCCCCACCCCCGTCGCAAAACCTGGATGGCGTCTCACTATAGTTGTTAAACGTGATATTTAATTAATCTTGTCTCTATCCACTCTGCAAAAAAATGCTTTGCTTTACTTAGACTTTTTTTGTCGTCTTTCTAACACAAATATCTAAAAATGCTTAAATCAAGAAGAATTTTCTAGACAAGCAAAACATATTGTGTTGTTTTCAGTAATAATGAGCCAAAATAAAGTGATTATTTCCTGAAATCAAGCTAAATAATCTGCCAATGGGGTAAGCAAAATAATCCTGTTTCTCCTTTTGACACGTTGGCAGATTATTTTGCTTGTTTTAGTGAAAAACTAACTTAATTTTGGCATATTATTTTTTTAAAACAAGACAATATGTTTTGCTTGTCTAGAAAAGTATACTTGATTTAAGTGTAGATATTTGGACTAGAAACAAGACAAAAAATCAGGTAACGTGTCACAGCAATTTGTAGTTTTAGCGAAAACCTTAGATACTGTTGGTTGGTTCCTTTTGATTGTGTACCTTTTGTACCAAGTTTGTCGCCACTATTATAACAACACAGATCACTCTGCCTATTCATGCCTGCAGAAAAAAAGGGATTGACAGGTAATAATTTGTGTTACTTATCTTTATTTATTTATGATTTGGTTATGGGTAAAACAAAGATCATGCAGGTCAGGTAGTTGAAAGAGTAGACAATTACAAATAATTAATCCATTAGGAATTGATTAATTATTCACAAATAATTAATTTACCGCCGACTATGATGACCATACCATCAATAATAAATTGGTCGACATCGCCCAACCCTAGTTGGCTGATTAATAAACAGACTAACCCAAAAGGAAAATGGTGAAAGCAGATAACCTATCACCATTGACTTGTCTTTGACAATGATTACCGGTTTTCATCTGTCTTCATAAAAGCTTCTGTAGTGTTTAAAAGAATAAAGAAACTCATGAAGGTTTGAAACCACTAAATAGTGAGTAAATTAGCATTTTTAGGTGAACTATCCCTTATACTACAAAACATTTATCCTCCTGATTTGCAGCATTCCAGGACTTTTTATGATATTGCTTAATTTCATTTGAGCCATTTAATCATCCTCCATTTTACTATCGTTGAACAAGCTTTCATTCAATTTTGGCTACACAATGCAATTGAGCTGGATGCAAAATTGGATCATGTGCACATGCAGGACCATATTTTTGGCTTTTTATCACTTATAAACAGTTGATTACTTTATGTGGTATACAACATAGACTTTTAATTGTAATTTAATTGAGCAGAGTTGCTTATTAAAAATGCATTCAGGATTAAGTAATGAATAAAGATGTTAATAATGTAATCCCAATGCAACTGAAACTTTGAGAAGTTTTTTAAATGATTTATCTTGCAAAAAAAAAAAAAAAACAGTAAATTCTAAGTAACAAAATTTCTTTTAGTTTTATTTATTTTTTTATTGAATGTAGTGGAAATTCGAACATTTCTCATGCATGAATGAATCCAAACAATTTCTTCACGTTAGCCTAAAGTGAGTTATCAGTGTTTGTCCAATGTGAGCTTTTCTGTTGTTTTTACATTCAACAAGCCCCATAGCATTCCCAAACTGAAATGCTGCGAGCAGACGAGACGCCACCCGAATTCATTTAATAAAGATGAAAATACAATCAATACAGTGAGCAGAAAATTGGAAGTCATTTTCATTAAAGCTTGGAGAGGGGCTGCAGTCATTACTGTCAGACAGTGCAGGGCTTGGCTTGCCATCCCATTTGTATTCTCCGCCTCACGCCAGGTTCTCTGCAGCCCCTCCGCTGTGTGTTTTTCCCCATGCCTTCCTCTCAATAAGGCACTTTTTCTAGGTCATTTCTCCCTTTCCATATCAGGACCGTCTGCATCTTCATGCCACGCATGTATATTTAACCTCGGATTGAGACTTTTTAGGATTCTCCGCTCGCTGCTCGCCATCAAATGTTGTTTTGCCATCCTCAGAGGCCGAGGATCAACTGTTATTGAACGCAAACCAATCCTTTGTTTCAAAGCTCTGAAGGTTTTTTTTGTTTTGTATTTTTCTCCCCCTCTCTCTCCGCTTTTAAACAGTATAGCAACAAGTTTAAACACTGAAACAAAACCAGAACAACAAGGGAAAGCCTCCTCAGATGCTCTTGGGAAATAACTACACTGCAGCAGTGCCACTGAAACTTGTGAGAGTTTAGAGCCTCTTTTATTTTTCCACAGTGGCTTTAGCTCATTCTGCTCATCACTGTGAAAGTAGAATAGGCTGTTGTGTGCCCAGCTCAGGTGTTTAGAGAACAAAAGGAGATAGCTCGCCGTGCCAGTTAATTGAGGCAGACAAGAGAAAATCACAGCCTTTCTCTTTTTGTTACTTTGCCAAAATGTAGTTCATTTGCCAGTGCCGTAGGCTGCGACATTGCTCCAATATCACAATCTGTGCTACTGACCACGACTGAACTTTTTTTCTGATGGTAGAGCTTCAGAAAACACGCATTCAACTGGGTTTAATTAAGCTTTATTTGTAGACCGCTTTTAAAATGTAGATTGTGTCAAAGCAGATGATGAAAAGAGAATAAAAAGCCACAACAAAATTTCAAATAGTGAAATATTCCAGACATAACTTGTGGCTATCATAATACGATCCATCGTTTGAACCACGTTAGTTATGACATAAAACGCCCATAATGACACTCTAAACAGGGTGGAGTGACTTCTTTGGAGGAAAAAGCCATACATTTTTGTGCAAATTTTGTTTTACACGCACACGCATTTTTAAAAAATACAATATTAGATTTGATAAAAACATGCACTTGTTTTCCATATTAACTGAAATATATGTAAATGGCACATATAGGGCCAAAGTTTCTTTTACAAATGTTATTAAGAATATTCCATATTATTTTCCAAAACATAAAATCCCTTAGCTAACACGTATTCTAATCTCATATATAAACTATACAAATTGTTAGGCTAATGGTTGTAATTTACAGTAGACTCTTTTTTTTAAGAAAAAAAAAACTTTCTTAATAATAATAATTATTATTATTATTATTATTCATTCATTCATTCATTCATTCATTCATTCATTCTTTTATTTTCTTGTCGGCTTAGTCCCTTTTTTAATCTGGGGTTGCCACAGCGGAATGAACCACCAACTTATCCAGCACGTTTTTACGCACCAGATTCTCTTCCAGCCGCAACCCATCTCTGGGAAACATCCACACGCACTCATACACTCTGGACAATTTAACCTACCCAATTCACCTGTACCGCTCTCTTTGGACTTTGGGGGAAATTGGAGCGACCGGAGGAAACCAATGCGAACGCAGGGAGAACATGCAAACTCCACACAGAAAAGCTGACAGACCCAGCCGAGGCTCAACCCTGCAACCCAACGACCTTCTTGCTGTGTATTATTATTATTATTATTATTATTATTATTATTATTATTATTAAGTAGAATGTTGTTTATTGATATTTTAAGTCTACTTTTACAATTTGACACATTCAAGTCACTGCAGAAATGTTCTTACCAACAGGCCCATGTCATATAGTACAGATACATTTCTTAATAAATAACCTACCATAGATTAATAGCATTAACGTTTTCACAAGCTTTGGAGACGTAAGGTAAATTCCACTTTTAAATTATAGGTCACCTATAACTAGGCCCAAACAGAATCTGCGCGCACAGAATTCTACAGTTTTTTTGCCCCCTCATTGAGCCAATTTATTTTTGTAAGTGTGTGTAAATTTATATTTATTCAGTTTTAAGTTAATTTCAGTAATATTATTGTCTAACGTGAAAATGTTTATATAATTTATTTACAATACAGTTTGCAAAGTAATATTCTCTTTCTTTTTACTAGATCTATCATAAAAAAGATTTACTTTGTTTAACAAATAAGTGGATCTAATTGGATTTGCAATGTAAATATTAAATAAAAGTAAAAAATCTATTCTTTTTTATTTTATATATTAAGTTTTTAGTTATGATACTCCCAAAATTATTCTGCATAAATCCGCAGACTTTTAACACAGCCCAGAAATAGCAAAAAATGTCCGCATATTCTATCTGGCCCTAGTCATGAGCCATGGCTGTGTCCAAAATGGCATAAATGTTTTCAAAGTGCACTGCGAAGGGAACGCAATTGTCAATATGAAGAATGCTAAAATGGAACTGTACAAATACTATGTAAGCAAATTAAGATAGATGATTTTAATGTTTTTTTTTTTTTTTTATGTTCCAAGTTTAAATGTTGGAATGTTTGAAAGGAATAGGGTATAGGGGGATAACTGGGAATAGAACACAACCAGGAACTGTGCTTCTAACTACAGCTCTAGAGGTGTAGTTGGAAACGTACAAGTTTGCCACGTTCATTGGAACGATGGTTTGGGAAAGCCAAAAAAACAAACTATGTTTGTAACGATGTAACTTGTGACCCTAGTTGGCTAATGATGGTTTTTAGAAATGCACCCCAGTATAGTAGGCTGGGATGAAAAGAGTGGTAGAATGCTAATTCTAGTTCAATTAAACAATGTTTCAGTTCAGTTTAGTATAAATGTCACCGCTGAAGTTCAGTTCAGTTTACATTGCAAATATCAACATCGAAACATATATTACAGACAAAAAATCAATAGATTGACTTTCCAGATTCTGCATGAGTGGCAGCGCATGGCTATTTAGTCCATTGGAAAATAAAATTATGGAAATGGCCACATACACACTGCAGCTACATTTGATTGCGAGTTCACCTTTTAGTGCTTATTTAAATTCTGCACACGCAGTTCAGTGATTTGCGGGATTGACAGCCTCATTCAACAAGCAAATTAACTCTTGAATATTGCCACCTGCATTTACAAAAATTCTACACAGAATCATGTATACAGAATCGATCGGAAGAACTCTTTAATGAATTATTAAAATGTGCTTTAGAGATGTCTCTCATTTTGCATGTGGATTAAATAAGTAACATGAAAAGATGTACAAGCTGACTGATTTATGTTGCCAAAGTCTCCTACAAAAAGACAACAAGAATGTGAACAAGCCTGTGTCAAATCCAAATCTTTTAAATTGACAGTACCAAGATATTTTTACCTGTACTTACCTACTTTATTAACTGCATGTTGAGTTTAATTGCATGATATGTTGATTAGTCTAAATGATCATAATTAAACACATTGCATTAGGTTCAGAGGCTACCCACAGTAGAACATTTAAAGCTGTGTTACTATTAAATAAAAATAAAAATAAAAAAAACTCAAAGAAGCATTGCTAAAAGTAGCTATAGAAAGAAATAAAACAAGACTACAACAGTTTTAACATAAACTGTGGGACATAAAAGAAAATAACTTGTCAAACATCAAACATGTCAAACATATTATGGTCATACAATGAAAGTCAATGGTATGCAAACTTGTTCAATATTTAGTGTATGCTCCATAAAAAAAGTCAAACAGGTTTAAACAACACGAGGGTTTATGTTAAATCTTCATTATGGACAATACTCTTAATAAGGGGAGCACTGTGGTTCAGTGGGTAGCCCAATTGCCTTACAGCAAGAAGGTCACTGGTTCAACCCCAGTTTGCATTTCTGTGTGGAGTTTGCATGTTCTCTCCGTGTTTGTGTAGGCTTCCTCCAGGTGCTACGGTTTCCCCCACATGTCCAAAAATATGTGGTATAGGTGAATTGGGTAAGCTAAATTGTCTATAGTGTTTGAGTGTGTATGGATGTTTCTCAGTGATGGGTTGCAGTTGGAAGGGCATCGGCTGCTTAAAACATATGCTGGATAAGTTGGCGGTTCATTCTGCTGTGTCGACCCCAGATTAATAAAGGGACTAGGCCGAAAAGAAAATGAATGAATGAATACTCTTAATAAGCAGTTACAATGACCTAAAATCATATGCTGTCAGGACTAATTGATCATTAATTTGTTACAGTGTATTAATGTGCATGTGATTTGTGGGTTTACTAAACTTTTTCAAATCATGCAATGTATTGACAGTTTGTACAAAATAGGGTGTACTTAATTATGCTTAGCACTGTACATAGGTCTGAGGACTGGTGCATTAATTGTGTGAATAATTTTAATGCGTTCTTTTGAATAATAATTAAATAAACTGTAACACCAATTCTCTCTAGTGGCTTATTACTTACTTATTATTAAGATATTGGCTGTTTATTTCTAATGCATAATCTTTTTCAAAAATGTTCCCAAAACCTGCTACCTTAATGATGATTAATAAGCAGCAAATTGGGAATTAATTGGGGCAAAAGTCTCCTTTACAACAGCCACAAAGAACAATGTATTTATATTTTAGAAAACAGTTTAAGTTTTTTATTTTTTATGACTTACCCAATAATCATACAATTACAGAAATGTTTTTATGGAAGGACATTTAAATGTTTCATGCTGAAATTACTAGTACATTTCACAAATAATTACAGAGAAGCAAACCAGATATTTAATCAAACATGAAATTAAAAAGTCTAAAAAGAGTTTTTTAAATATAAATCGACTGTTTATATAAAAACAGCATATGCACCAGCTTAACCTCTACCTAGATCTTTGAAATAGTGAGGAGATCTTCTGTTTAGCAGTGTGTAAAGTATGGTATCCATATGTCTTACTTTGCTCTCAGGTTTATATACACCTTAAGATTTACCTGCCATAAAACGTCTCATAAAACTTTACATGCTGGTCAAACAAGCTCTTTACTTTAGCGAGAGGCCAGGAAAGGCTTGATGGCTCGACTAAACAGCACTAAAGCAAAACCGTTTGTCCTCTGTGTCTCCATGCAGGCCTCAGCAGGTGAACTGGGTAAGGGTGGACGATGATGTGCCATCTCACGCTGTTATCACTGGTTCAGATCTCTTCATCGAGAATCTCAACAAGTCCTACAATGGCACTTACCGATGCGTGGCGTCCAACCCTTTGGGTGAAGCGTATGATGACTACATCCTCTTTGTACGCGGTAAGTTCAAAGTGAGCGAGGAGTTCAGTGCATTCGACCTCTTCTTCTTCTTTCACCCACTTCACCGCTCCATCTGAGTCATGGGTCAATAACATTGATCTCGATGACATTTCCTTTCCTTCAGGACATGTTCTAATCTGACCATTTTCCTCTTGGAATTTACTTCTGATATCTTTTGCTGCACTAAGCCTGTGGTGAAATTGCTGTCCGAGTGCAACAATGGTACTCAGAGCTATTTTGAAAAGGATTTGGGCTACAACGAGGATCTTAAGTGAACAGATATATAGTTTATCAGTAGCAAGGGAGGCAAACCTTGACTAATTCACATTCACTCTAAGTCATTTTATCAAACCATACTGTGAAAGAGATTTATAGTAGCCAAACTTCTTCTTTTTTTTGGTTGCTGCGTGTGGGAACATTGCATGTTGTCGGTGGGTCGCCACAGAAACTTGGCTTCACCCGGGTTGTGCGTGTTCCAAAAACTTGCCCCAGCACGAAGTGCAAATGCGCCAGTAATTGCGACAGGCTTTTCACACGTTTCTCCCATGAGCAGCTTGGCAGTCGTTCCACTAGAAATTCATGACAGTTGAACCAACAGAATAGAAGAGAGAGTGACACAGCCACGTATGGCGCTGCGAGAGCTCAAATCCCTCCCCTATTAAAAACAGTGTTGAATATAACACACTCCATCATGACTCTGTCTGAGGCTGCTTTTAAGGCGAGACACTGCAGGCAAAATCACTGGGTTTTTCATGCCCAATGATTTTGAGCTTTATGGATTTTCATGAAGTGTTTCTTCATATCTAATGGAAAGAAAATATCCATAATACACTTTTAAGTGTTGCTTTTTTCACACTTTAGCATTTTGTGTCTGTATTATGGTACATATTTGTAAAAGCATTTTTATTTTCAAAATAACCATAAATCTCCTCTTCTGCAGCACACACTTACACTTTTATTCATATCTTCATTCCAACGATTCTCAGAGGTATTTTACCTGATATTTACAACGTTTATTCAACACAAATAAAATAAAACAAATTACATTACTTTCTGGCAGTTCACTGTATATTGTGAATTATGAAGTGAGGAACAGTTATACAAAATCCTCTCTGTAAAATCCTTTGACTCCAAAACATATTTTTGAAAATTTGAGACATTAAACCTGACTTGATGCAATGTTCAGATGTTAAAATAATATACTAATTATCACTTATTTGCTTATATAATGACTCATTTGCATATTTAAGCCTGACTATTTAGAAAATGAATTAAAAAAAGAATAAAATATGCCATGAACTGGGAAGTATATGAAAAAAGCTATTAGTAAATTTTAGCCTTCTATCTTCTCCTAAATCTACAACAGTCACCATTGAATTTTATTTAATTTAATTTGTTTTATTTTATTTTTACACACTATCATAACTGTCTGTTGCTTTTTTGATGTATAAACAGTTCAACTATCTGACATAATAAGACAAGGCTGTTGTCATGATTCGTGCATGTTTAGATGTTGCCTATACTGTAGGTGGATTCGACTCCATGCATGCTGGTTAGAAATTGTGTCTGACCTTGCGCCGACACCATGTGACTGTCACATGTGGCATCAAAGTACAGCAATAGTACAGCTGGTGCAGCATTAGAAAAGTAAATGCAGGAGTTGCGATGATGACACCGATATTACACGATTGGCTAGACTTGCTGCATGACAACAACCCATTTGCATTTTGGGTTTATTATTGGTCAACTTCCTTCTCACAAATTTTAAAACAAACTGTTAACTTTTATGCCATCTCTATCTTGTATATAGCATGTTTATTAAAAGACTACAAATATTTCACTGCAGTAATCATCTTTTGTTAAATTATTTGCTTATAAATATAGTTTGCAGAGGGGTTTTTTTCAACCTTTTTATACAGATTATTTACTGCATTCAGCTTCATTAACGATTTAAATTATACATTTTAGTAAAAAACCTAAATATTGTAATAAAATAATTATCATCATTGATCCTGCCACTTCATAAAGATTTCTTAATAAATTAAGTTAAATGCTATTTTATTGAATAATTATAACATTCCGCTTTGGCCACCCCAGATTAATAAAGGGACTAAGCCGAAAAGAAAATGAATGAATAAATGAATGAATGAATGATGATGATGGTGACGCCATTTCAATTGGTCAACATGGCTGCGGCAACTTTGAGCCCCAAAGTGTCCGGCTTGATGACCCCACTACAACTCCTCCCCCACCTGCGCTCGGCTAATCTTGTTGATCACTGGCTGCAGTCGAGTTCTACAAGTTGAACACACCAATTGTGTATTTGTTGTGTCATGTTATTTCCCATGTTCCATGCGCTTCTGTTTATGTCATGTGATTCCTTTGGTCTTTTTTGGTCTATTTTCCCGCCGTTTGTTAGTTCCACCTGTGTCACACCCCTTTATGTATTCAGTTCAATCATGTCCTGTGTATTTATACCCCTGAGTTTATTTAGTTCTTTGTCCGTTAATTTATTGTCACCATCTCTTTGTCATGCGTACGTTTTGATGTTCCAGTGCCTGGAGTGTTTTTGTAAATAAATATGCGATTTTGATAATTCCTGAGATCTGTGCATTTATAAGTGAGCCTACCATGACAGCTGTCACCATTTAATCATGCATATTTTAATATTACCTGATTTTATTTGTCTGCTTATATATATATATATATATATGCACAATTCAGCTTGCAAATTGGAATTGCTAATGCAGAAATAGCACAAGCCATTCACCATTTAATCTTAAATAGAGTGACAACAAAATAGATTCAACAAACACATACATGTGCACTCATAAAGACAGCCGCTGGTGACATCTGGATGCTCTATAGTCTTATAATTATTCTTCCTCAAATTAATAGGATGACATCTGTGTATTACAAACACAGTGGCCCTGACACATTCAGCAAGGCCCACAGCGCCTCACGCGTGCTTCATTCTTCAATTAAACGCTCTGCTTTTCAGAGATGTTAAAGGGAGGGCAAAATGAGCGTTTAGCAAGCTGTCTCAATAAGGACATGTTTTCATACTGCCGGCATATGTAATGTATGGCATGTTGGAAGGTTAATTGTGAAGCTATTCATGCGTGGCCTTGTGCAAGCACTTTAAAGGGTTGTTAACACTTTCAGGACTATATAATAATAATAAATTTGAAGAATTACAGTTGGCAATTTGTCAAGTGGTGAAAAGGCGTCACACAACAACATCGCGCTGACATGTTTCTGTCATTCTTATCCATGATAAATTGTGATTGGCAGCCAGTGATCATCATTAGTGTTTGTTTAAGAGAAGCACTGATGCGAAAAGATTTTAAGCATCATGGGATTAGATAAATATTGAGTTAGACAGTGCTTGTGCATGATTGATTGATGCATTCATTCATTCATTAGCATAACCTTAATTATTTTTTCAAGACTTTTAATTATTCAGTTATCAAAGCCACGTGCATTTTGTTTTAATTTAATTAATCAAAGAATCAAACATGTAGAAACTTTTTAAATTTACAAAACTAAAGTTAACAATACATGATCATGTGTTTTTTGTTTTGCTCTTTAGCAAAACAGCACTCTTTTAACGCATAAAATACCATAATATGTATAATAAACATGTTAAATGAGCATTCTTGTTTATCTGTAAAACAATACTAAAGTCCGATCTTCTGCTCTGAAAATGTGAGTTACGTGCCGAAACGCTGTCTTTGTTTTGGTTCTTTTAACCCATCCACTGCCAGATTAACCAATTATATTTCAGCACCTCGGGTTGCCTTGTTGGAAAACCACGTATTTCATTAGTTCAGTCAGAATGGCTCCCAAAGCATGTGCCAATGACCGAAATGCGACCTCTGGTGGACAGTAGCAGACTCCAAAATTAGACACAGATTCAGAGTTCCACATGAGGTTATTAAATAGCAAATAATATAAATAATACGAGCGTAAACATTAGGTGAGCTGGTTACGTTGTAGCCCCGTGTCCTAACAGCACGCAGTAATAAGCAATTTGGCCTTTTGCAGCAGTTGAAACATGACAGAACATTTAAAAACAGCCATTTAGAAGCACAGAATATGCTCGAAATGGTCAGGTTTATAATCCAATTAATACATATTAAACATCTTTAACATTATTAAATGTACATGCTGAATCACTAATATTGGTATATATTACTTGATATGTAGTCACAGTTCTAAAGTTCAATTTCAAACGGTTTATTTTATTTTCAAGATCTGAGGTGAACTATCTTCTGCTGCTTTCAGTAGTATGACAATAAATGTCATGTGAAATAGCACTCAAACTCACATTGCTGGCATTTAACACTGAATAAACCACATGAGTCATACTCGAGGTGGTCATGTCATCAAGTTTTCTCTTGTTCAGCTGCAAGAAATATAAGTCGTTTCTAAAATATAAATTCAAGGTGTTGTTTAAAGCAAAAATTAATTTTAATATGAAATTATTCTTTCTATCGTTTGCCGTTCCTTTTATTTAGAACACGACTTAAATCAGCCTTAAATCAGCAATAGTCAGGCATGCTCTGGTTTTTCCTTAAAACCATTCTGGCAAATCTGCGTGCGTTTTGAGCTAGAAATGCAATACCTAGTTCAACCACTGGGTGTAAAACCTTTATACTGCACCTTTAATTGTATTACTCATCAAAGACTTTTTAAATCAAAATTTACTTTAGTTTTTTTGAAAACTGCGAATGTACATTTATGTATTTATTTACTTTTTATTAGCAAAATCATGTGACTAATTTGTTTAATTTTATGTTTTTATTTAAACATGAATTGATTCATTACAAATTGAAAAATGAATGTAAAATTCTATTTTGTACAAATATTTATATTTATTTTTTTATTTAGTTTCTAAAAGACTTCAACTTAAAGTGTTAAACAATTCGAATGTTCGACTGGCCATGACTAGGGCCAGACAGAATCATCTCTTTTTGCACATAATTGTGTTTAAAAAG